GGAACATATGCAGATAGTGGCTCGACTGGGCTACCAGCAGCTCTCGGGCGCTCAGGCGGTGGTGTATCGCATTCAGCTGTACGGAACACTCGAACCTAAATAGGGGACGATAATTGCTTTAACCTCAAAATCCTAGACAGATGAAAGCACGAACAAAAACGAGTTCAATATTTTTTGTAGACAATCCGATGTTAGCAAGAGAATTTCAGACGAAAGAAGGAAAACATCAGGCGTGTGCATTTTGATAGGATGCGCTTTCAATGCTTAATGAGAATGCAGAAGAATTAATTGGCAACATAACAAGCACAGCTCAACAAGCTTATGCAAGAGGAGCGCATTCACTTCAGTCCCCATATTCAGGAGGAATGCTATTCTATTTTAAACGAATAGGTATTGCATAGGTAACTTCCGGAGAAAGTTACCGTAAAGCATTCTTAAATGCACAAAAGCGCTCAATAATTCATTCCTGTTCCACGTAAGGCAAACTTCAGAAAGATTACAAATTTTGATGCAAAGGACGCAGTGTCAAGAGTTGAAGCATTTTTGAAAAATGTTGATGAAATAGAAAAAATGCAAATTAGAGAAAGAAAGTGTCTTCAAAGAATGGCAAGTGGAAAAAATGACTAGACGAAAAAAGCAACTGCTGACCTCATCTTGCATGTCCTCCTGATTATCCAGCTTGTGGGTTGGTTCAGCAGTGCTCTCACGAGTTGTAGTGTGCTCAGTCTGCGTTGACAATCTTTCGCTTACGTTGTCCCCATTCACGTCACCAAGACATAGACGATCACCAGCCCCATCGCCTTGAGCTTCAGCTAGAGAGCACAAAGCTTCGCCAGCACCACTATCGTAACCCATCGGCGGTAGACCACCACAGTATGGGATCAAAAAAGAGCTGTCGTTTGAGTGTTCCGTGAGCATTGCTTTCAATCTCGACTAGAAAAATACAGTATTTATAAGAAGTTTCATTTAAGAAAGTAAACACACTGACCACTTCTTCCAAAGCTTGCTGAAGTTTTTTGCTTTGTCTAGCGTTGATTTTGCGCTCGTCTTCAATAACCTTTCGAGCCTGCTTATAGTGCCACTTGAGGGTATCATAGTCACGACTAAAGCGATTTGACGGTATTTCAACAAAATCAGAATTTACAAAACACAAGTGGCAGAAACCTTAACATATACGGAAATTTGACAGAAAGTTATTAAACGACTTTGGAATGAATAAAAGAGACAAAAAGATCATTATGATCTAGATGAGGACTGAACCTTTTACGGTCAATCTCGTCTTGTAGTTCTTCTATTCTTTCCGTCATATCCCTCC